TGTGAACAGGCATTACTGTTGGGTAGAGAGACTAGAGGTTGGGAGGTGAAAGATGTTTACCTTTCATTTTCTATCTTTTTATACTTAAAAATTACCAGGTTCGTGCATCACCTTTATTTAGAGAAGAAACTCTTTTTCTCCCCCAGAAATAAATCAGGGTGTCTTAGTTTTGGCTCTCCAGAAGCAGACACCAGGACAGGGATTTGAGCGTGAGGGTTCATTTTGGTGGTGAAGTTGAGAAACATGAGCAGGGAATGGAGGAGGAGAAGAGCTGGTAGGAAACGGAAGGCTGGCGATCAACAGTGTCTGTCAATCAGGTTACCACTGAGAGCAAAGGAACGCGGAGATCCAGTGAAAGACTCAAAACGCAGTTAACCCTCCAATGGGTGCGTGTCCATTAGCTCCTGTGGGTCACTGATTGAAGTCTGCTCTGGGGTGTTCATTCCATGGCTCACACACAGGCAGAGCAAGGTCTGGTGGCTCTGGGAAGCCTCAGGCAAAGAGTCAGGACAGCCTGCCTGGCAATGGTGGCTGGAGGGATGTAGGTGAGGCACTGGCCACATCTGCTACAGAGACCACAGCCGTCGTGCCAGATTCTAATAAATCAATGATATGTGCATATTTGCTGACTTAGGAATCAAGTCTAGGAATGTCCCTCCTTATATATACTAACCTACCTGGGCCCTGATCAACAATGTATATAGGAAGACAGGTTTTATTAGAGAATTGTTTTCGATTATTTTAATTGAAATATAATTGATTTACACTGTTGTGTTAATTTCTGTTGTACAGCAAAGTGATTCAGTAACATATATACACACACACACACACACACACACACACACACACACACATATACACACACATTCTTTTTCACCTTCTTTTCCATGACGGTTTATCACAGGATACTGGATATAGTCCCCTGTGCTCTACAGCAGGACCTTGTTGTTTATCCATCCTATGTATACTAGTTTGCATCTGCTCATCCCAAACTCCCACTCCATCCCTCCCCCACCCCACCTTGGAGACCACAAGTCTGTTTCTGTGTCTGTGGGTCTGTTTCTGTTTCATAGATGGGTTCATTTGTGTCATATTTTAGATTCCATGTATAAGTGATACCATATGGTATTTGTCTTTCTCTTTCTGACTTACTTTGCTTAGTGATAATAATCTCTAGGTCCATCCATGTTGCTACAAATGGCATTATATCGTTCCTTTTTGTGGCTGAGTAGTATTCCATCGTATATGTGCACCACATCTTCTTTATCCATTCATCTGTCGATGGACATTTAGGTTGTTTCCATGTCTTGGATGTTGTGAATAGTGCTGCTGTGAGCATAGGGGTGTGTGTATTTTTCTGAATTAGAGTTTTGTCTGGATATATGCCCCAGAGTGGGATTGCTGGGTCATATGGTAGTTCTATTTTTAGTTTTCTGAGGAGCCTCCATACTGTTCTCCATAGTGGCTGCACCAACTTACATTCCCACCAACAGTGCAGGAGGGTTCCCTTTTCTCCACACCCTCTCCAGCATTTGTTATTTGTAGACAGAATTGTTTTTAATACAAAAAATCCAACGCAAATGTGAACCAGTAGGTGATGAATCGAACACATTGTGGTGTATCCTATGTAAGAAACCAAGAGAAGGAGTAAGGTGTATCTTGTTAACTTTCATGACAAAAATCTCTGAGACACATTACACTGTATAACGATGTCCATAGCAGGGTGTCATTTTTATAAAGGAAAAAACAAAACAAGCAGGTGAAAACACACAAACTCCCAGTCCAATGTATGTGCCCTTATGTGTACACAGAAAAAGATCAGGAAAGGGCTTCCCTGGTGGCGCAGTGGTTGAGAGTCCGCCTGCCGATGCAGGGGACACAGGTTCGTGCCCCGGTCCGCGAAGATCCCACATGCCCCGGAGCGGCTGGGCCCGTGAGCCATGGCCGCTGGGCCTGTGTGTCCGGAGCCTGTGCTCTGCAACCGGAGAGGCCACAACAGTGAGAGGTCCACGAACCGCAAAAAAAAAAAAAATTAAAAAAGATCAGAAAAGATAAATAAGTTGCAGGAGTAAATGCAATTTAAAGTATATGTTCTTGTATGTTTGAATGTCTTATTATATGATTTAATTTACTGTAAAACCCACATGGTATTGCAAGGGGGGCTAGAAATCATATATATTTCATAGATTACTGCAGAGACTAGCTGAGGTGATACCTGTAAAACGTCTAGCACAGAGAACCGCATGCGCTTTATGTTCAATAAATGATTGGTATCAAAGGAGACAGCTTTCCCAGCCTGAAGAGCCCTTGGGTGTAAAGTGAGTCGGACGTTCTTCATCTCCTCCCACACCTCTTGACTGGTCCATCATTTGCGAGCCTCCTACCAGCCAGCCGTGGGGGATTATTTAGGGAAGAGGACCAAGTCCCACCCTCGTGAACTCACATTCTGCCAGGCAGGCAGTAATCAAATAAATGTGCGACAGGCCACGAGGTATCAATGCTCTGGAGGAAGATGAAGCTGGGGTGGGGGGAGGGGAGAGTCGTGGGCAGGGCTGCTGTTGTTTACAGATGGTCTCTTATAAAGTGGTGTTTGAGACTTTGAAGAAGAGGAGAATGTTTGAGGTATCAGCTCTCCGAAAATAGGGAAGAGTGAGTGCAAAGGCCCTGAGGTAGGTGTGCTTGGCCAGTCTGAGGAAGAGCCAGGAGGCTGACGCGGCTGGAGCGGAGGGGACAGGGGAGGGGGTGCAGGTGGTCCCACAGGCAGCAGGCTGTGGGGCGTGTGGGTCTGGGCTGGCTCACGGCAAGGCAGGGGGTTCACCGAATGAGATGTGAGGTGATTGCAGGGGGTGGGGGCGGTTAAGCGGCCTGGATGTCTTAACATCACTGTGGTTGCAGTGCAGACGGTGGATGGGGAGAGGGGCAGGTGGGCAAGGGAGACGGGAGGAGGTCCTCCTTTACAGGTGGGAGAGAGAAGACCCTGGGTGTGACCATGGCAGTGAGTGCGGGGAAGGAGTGGAGGGGGTCACGTGAAAAAGAGTTGAAAGGTGAAAGCAGCAGAACCTGGTAATTCATTAGATGTGAATTATGAAGAACTAAAAAAAAAAAAAAAGCCAAGAGTGAGGCTGAGATGAGACTGCTGAAAGTAACAGCTATGAGTAAGTCTTGAGGGAGAGGCCTCCCAGGAGCCCTTGCGCAATCAGAGTCTCCAGCCTCTTGCCCAGCCAGATCCCCTTCTACCCGACACACACTTGAATTCTCCAGCTGCACCAAGTTACTGAGTTATCCAGAGTGCCTTTGCCCTACTTGGCTGCCTAGGAACTCTGCTTCATCCTTCAAAACCCAGCTCAGGCCTCACCACCTCTGGGTGGCTTAATGCCGCAGCTCAGATGAATCGTGTGCTTTTCTGCATCACTCCGGGCCTCGTGCACAGTCTAGCGCACAGCTTCCCAACCAATGTGACGTAGCACATCGGGTATGCAGATAGATCCTAGGTGTGCCCTTGGGCCTTGAGGTGTCCAGTTGGGCCTAGAGTAGCTGGGGCTCCTGGCCAGTCACCTCCAGCTGCCAACGGCACATCCACTGACCCTAGAGGACCACACAAATGTTTCCATTTTCTGTACATGCGACGCCCTGGGGGGAAGATGGATGCGCTAAGGATGCTAAATTGGAACCTTTAGTCTCCGTTTCAACTGAGGCCACAAGCAATAGATAAAATGTTCCAAAATGAGCTGCAAGCTTTGCAAGGAATGCTCGTGAAGACCAGGTTTCTATACCTTCAGCCCACCACCCACCTCCAGACGATACAGGGTGACGCAGAAGCCGAGGAAAGAACTGCAGTGCACAGGAGAGAATTAGGGGGGAGAAGGCTAAGTGGTGGGTCCCACCCAGGAGAATGGGGTGACTCCCTCAAAACTGTACACAGGGGCTTTGAGGAAGTATTGGAGGCTTAACCTATGTCCCTGAAGCTGGCGGGACACAGTGGGCTGGAGCCTGGCTGAGTCTGGAGGGGTCAGGCACCCTGATGGCCGAGCAAGGAGAGGCGGCCGCCTGGGGACCAGCTTGCGCTCAGAGTTGGTGGGCAGGGGGCTCACAGCATTTCCAGATGGTGGGATGAGGCCCGTTCAGCAGAAGGAGGGAGCAGGGGGGCCAGGTAGAGAGTAAGGCGACCCTAGTGGGACGCGACCTTAGAGCCCAGGAGCCGAGGCAAGAGTGGAGAGTGCCCAGCCAGAGGGGATGCACCCAGCAGAAGGAGCTGCGGTGAGACCCCGGCTGGACTGTGGCCGAGCTGGGGACGGGGGTGGGGGGTGGGGGGCTGGTCGGTCTGGGAGAACCACTGAAGGCTTCGCACGAGAAAGAAGCTGCTGGAACGTAAGCGGGGCCGAGAGAGAGAGGCCGATGCACTGCCGCCGGTGGTCCTGGAGCAGCTCCCGGCTCCCTGACCTTCTCCCTCATCCCCGCTGCCTCACCCCTCTCCGCGGTAGGCAGGAATCCGAGCCACAGCTGGGGGTGGGCCAGCTGGGGGGCACCTCGCCCCTGCTGCCCTCAGCCCGCGGTCCGTGCCAGGGGGAGGGGCGGGCGAAGTTTTCCTGTGCAATGAACTGTGGAGCTTTTGATTATCACACTTGCCTGGCCACATAAATCACTGAAATGAGCTGGTGTTCTGAGATTTAAATGACTGGGACGTTTCTCATGTCTAAATGTGATCAGGAAAGTCACGGGCCCCTGATTTTTCCCCGCTGAAAGCTCTAAGGGGAGGCTGCAGGGAGAATGCACGTCCCCGCCCGTTGCCCGCTATGGTCCGGGCTTGTCCGTCCTCACAGGTGCACCGCTGACCGCGTCCTCCCCCCTCTGCATCCGCTCCTTGAGGGCAGGAGCCACACTCACACCTGTCGGCTCCTAGGATTTGGGGCAGCGCTGGGCGCACAGGGGCCACCGTGGAGCTTGGGGGACGGACCCAAATGCCATCCCGTGGCGCTTCATTTCTGTTTCTTTCTCCCCAGTTTTCTCAGTTGGAGCCCCTCGCCTCTGTGCCTGGAAGGAGTTGCAGGTGTGTGTGAGGAGAGAGTGGTCACCCACAGGGCTCCGGCGCAGCTCGGGGGGCCCTCAGGTGAGTCCGGCGGGGCTGACTGCCAACACCGGTTCCCTTCATCCGCGAGCACCCGTTCATCCCAGCGGCATCCCTCCCACCTCCCTGCTCGAAGTAGTTTCTTCCAGTCTCTCCCCCAGCGGACACCCCGCTTCCCCGTCACCTTATGGAGCGTCACCTCTTTCTTACCTGTGCGAGTTACATTTGACATCACTTCTTCTCCATCTTCGTTCACTGAGAATTCCACACACGTGGTGATACAGGCGTCCCTACGTCTACGTCATTACTCCTGTGTTACAGGCATCACGGTGGAATGAGGATGCAGGGACCGCCACCTGGCTTCCTCTGAACCACTGCCACGTGCGTCGTCCCCATGTCGCTCCAGACTCTGGGGACGGCCGAGCTCTGGGACCAGTCAGCCTCCAAGGTGGGACTCGATTTAGCCACGGGGCAACCGCTAAATCATTTTGCTGAATACCTGAAACTAACGCCACATTGTAAATCAACTCTATTTCAATAAAAGCAAGTTAAAATAAATGATGGGGACAGAGTTAGGAGGTGAGAAAAATTGTCTGATGCCAAAAAGCACCTGAGCTGAACTGGAAAGAAGGTGTTTCTGAGGAACTTGGTCAGAAAACGTGGCAGGCAGTCTTCGGGCTTGGGTTGTCTGTCTGCAGCTGTGACACGTGGTCATGACTGCCTGCACCATTATTTGGAGACTCAGGCAAGACTAAAAATGTCTAATAAAGTGTGCTTCACATTGATAAGACTCTGGAAGCAAGATGAGAATTTTATTGTTTAGTCTGGCAGAAATTACTGAAGCAGTCATAACTGAAAACCACGCGCCTGATTCTTTGAGCTGTGTACACAAAACGCTCTTAAGTCCATAGGGTTTGGTAACGGGGCGATTACTTGCAGTATGTGAATGGAATGACTTCCTCTTGGCCAGAGGATACATGAGGAAGGGAGATTACCCGCCTTATGGAGTATTTGCTGTGTCCCCCTCTGTGGATGGGCCCACCGCTATCCCTTCACTTCCTCTATCGAATACAAACCCTGTCACACACCTTGCCAACCACTCCTCACCTGTGGCATCGTTCCTCGGAGGCGCGCAGAGGATGGCCCAGCCGGAGGTGGGACCACAGGAGAGGCAGGAACCCCCAACCCACTCTCTCCGCATCCCAGTTCCGGGATCCAGGCCAGGCAGCCAGAGGGGCTCTGCCTGTGGCCCTCTCCCCTCTCAGAGGGAGGACAGGTGCGGAGTTGAGAAACCGAGGGCTACGGGCGCTCCCCTTAGCTTCTGCCCTGGCGCAGGGCAGGCGCCGGGTTGGCCTCTTCCACTTGGGGTGCCTGCCAGGGATTCCCAGTCCCCCCCAGGACTGCATTCTTCTCCTTCTTCAGGCCTCGCATGGTCTCTGCTTTCCCCCAACAGAAGAAGACCTCGGCACCATGACCTCAGGGCCACGCAGAAGATGCCTGCCCTTCCAGATCCTTCAGTGGGGGGCACAGGCTTTCATTCCTGCAGCAGAGATGGGGCTGCAGTGCGAACCAGAGCTTCCCCGCCTCTGTGCCAGTTGTCAGTGTATCGACAAACTGGTACCCTCAGGTGTCGGGCACCTCGGCAGGGCCTGGAGCCTCCCTCCTCTTCGCTCTCCACGGTCCCTGAGATGTACAGGCATTACCATTCCCTGTGACAGCCATGACGTGCCGGCAGTCTGAATGCAGCAGAGCATCCTAGCGAGGAGATTCTGGTGAGGATGGGCCCAGTTCCGCCAGAGGCATCTCCACCCCTCAGCTTTTTAGCCAGAGCATCACTACCCGCCGGAGGGGCGGCCGGGTGCAAGGCTGCGGGCTCTGTCCCATGCCTGGGGCGCCGGGCAGACCTGAGCCCTGTGGTCCCCACTGAGCTTTTGAAGTGGAAGGTCCCCCATTCTTCTAACCACTCCAGAATATCCTCCCTGTGGCCGCTTCTCTTTTTCTCCAGTTTCACCCAAGGGTAGAGTTGCCCTCAGCCCATCATGCCCTCGCCCTTCTCTGGCCCTGTGCTGGGAACTCAGAAGCAGGTGTGGGAGCCCGTGGCTGTGCCCTTAGCCCTGGTCGCAGGGGACACGGCCTCCCGTTAGCACGCCGCAGGAAGACTCCAGAACTGACACCCACACTCGGCTTTGGGGGGTTTACAAAACACATCCTGCCCCCCAAAATTGCAGGGATATTTTAAAATTCAAATGGGTTATATTTTCTAAGCAAGAGCTACGTCGCTTTCCCCAAAGGAGTTTTCAGGCATTTGAAAAACGTTAGCTGGTGAGTCAGAAGTCTCCTTTGACTCTTTCTGTTTTCTCTCGCTCTGAAAATATATACGTATGTATACATAAGCACACGTCACCCTTGGAGGCGTATCTTCTAGGATGTAAGAGTGTGGCGGTTGGAATCCTGGTGCTTGGAAGAGAGGGGTCTGTGCTCTGCATCCCAGCACAGCGTTTAGCACATTGTTACGTACGGAGCGTCTGTTCCCTTCACGTGCACCCTCGTCTTCCCCTGTGCTCGCTGACCTGACCCGCGAGGCCGCTGGGCTGACTTCCCGCGCTCGCGCCACGTGCTTGGAGAGTTCCCAAGGCCGGCAAGTCGAATGTTGCGGCCAGGTCATCGCCTATTTCCAGCAAAACGAGTTCATATCCATTTAGGCCCGTTTTACTGCTCTTTGTTATAACTATTGCCAAGGAGAAACGAGCAGGTTTGGGTACCACGAGGCAAAATAATATTTGAAATTTTAACATATGCTTGGTTCTTAATATTGCAAGCACCCTATTGTAACTTGGGGACTTTCTGTGTTAGTCCTCGATCCTTCTCCCACAGAGTCCGGGAGGACTGGGTGCCCTGGCCTTGGCCTTGGGATGTGCGGTCTCACTCCCCGTGCACAGAGGCGGCATCCTTTGCACCCGGCGGGGCTGAGTGGAGGCTCCAAGCTCGTGTGGCCTGAGACATTCCATCGCAGAGGCTCTCCTAGCAACATGGCAACGCCAGCAAACCCAACAATGACCTTTTGTCGTTAGCTCTATAAAGCCTGTGGCATGAGTCTCACCAGAAAATTCAAAGGATATTTTGCAAGCGAAGAGCGATTTCCAGCGGAAGCTTCGAATCGGTTGCTTTTCCTCCAATCTGCAAATGTCAGACTGGACCGGCACCAGATTGTCGCTTCAAGAGCAGGACGTACCCAAAGAGGTGAGTCTGGACCATCCCAGTCCTGGCTCTGGTTAGGGAACCACCTGTGTACCACCGGCAAGTCACTTAACTCTCTAGATCTCCACGCATGAGCAACTGCTTCTTGACAGTGCAGGGTACTCGCTAACTGTCCAGATTCCTGGGCTGACACCTGTTCTCCTGCTGCATCAGAACCTCTGGGGCTGTGCTCCACAAACGTGACTTTCAACCAAAGGCAAATAGATGACATTGCTGAACAATGGTAAAAGTGCTTAGGTAACTAGCTTTCTAATTTGTTTACTTGGCATAAAGAGGGCCCACGCACACTTAGAATTGGCCTGTTGTGTATATGGTAGGGAGCGTGTTTTTCTCTAGTAGATTTTATAAAGGACTAAACCAACCCATTTTCTTTGCTGTTTCTGATTAGCTATCCTCTATAACAGACTATAAATCATGCACCCCTATCAGGAAAACACTTTAGAGCATGTGTTTCCAATATTGGCACTTTAAAAATATTGAATATTAATATCTGTATTTATTTATATTGTGCTTTAGTAGGAACATATTATGAATATGTTCCTAATATTAAAAAAAATGTTTTTAAAGGAAAAAAGTTGAAATAAGATTTAAGATTTTGATTAGTGAAATTTTTGGTTTAGTACTTTGTGATATAGTGAGATCAAAACCAATTTGTAAACAACAAAGATTTACTGTATAGCACAGGGAACTATATTCAGTATCTTGTAATAAATTATAATGGAAAATAGAAAAAGAAGAATATATATATATGTATGTATAACCGAATCACTTGGCTGTACACCTGAAACTAACACAATATTGTAAATCAACTTCAATAAAACAAACAAGAAACAAATTTCTGATGTTGGTTTTGAATTCGCTATCTTTTATTACTTAGTTATAATAAATGAAAACATGCTTCACAAAGATACATAGATTTAAGTGGAAGAAGCGCCCTTTTTTTCTGCACCTACTAAATTATGATACTGATTTTTTAATTCCCTCCGCTAATTATCCCAAGGTTTCTTATGGGCTAGTAAATTTCCATTTTTTCTGAATGTCAAATTGATGTTGTTGAAAATTAGAAAGTGTGGCACTTTTTTACATTTCTAACAAACATATTTAAAACGTGATAAAATTCTTCATTTGGAAAAACTGGGGGCAGGTTCGAAAATTCTGTTTCCAGAATTTTCATGTTTGCAGATATGAGTTTTTACATTGTTTGTGACAGTAAAAGCCATGTAAATCAGAAACATTCTCAAACATCCAGTTTCAAAATGCTCTTTCCGTAGCATGAATTTCTTTCCAAAGTTATTCCTTCCTCACTCATTTTAACATCATTTTCGCAAATGGACAGATTAAACATATTTACTTTTTGGAAATGTCTGCCAGACTGTGTGTCAACCCCTTATAACCACACCCCAAAAAAGCCAGCACATTTGGAACATTTGTATTTGTAAAAGAATAATGACCATTTCAAATTTAATCACGTTTTTAAGCGCTTTGCCATCAGATATCTTACAACCATCCGAGGGCACAAGAGATTTTCATGGTCATTCCCCTATTTCTTTTTTTTTTATGACATCCGGTAGCATTTGGGGGGTCTCTGGTTCAGTGTTTTTGCTGCAGTGACATCCTTGTGACTGATGCTGTCAACTAACGCCCAGGGAGGGACCAGGTCTGGGCGTTTTCCTCGGTGTCCTTTCTTTTTTTTAATTCTGCCAAAGCTACCGCTCCATGAGTGATTATACTTATATGATTACCACCCCACTCCCACTTCTTTTTTTTTCTTTCTATCTTTATCTTCTCCTTCCAATTTTATTGAGATATACTTGACATACATCACTGTGTAAGCTTAAGGTGTACGGCATCATCACGTGACTTACATCCATCATGAAAGGATAATCGCAATAAGTTTAGTGAACATCCGTCATCTCCTACAGATAAAAAATCAAAGAAATAGAAAAACAATTTTTTTTCCTTGCGATGAGAACTTGTGTTAGGATTGACTCTCTTAACAAATTTCCTATATAACACACAGCAGTGTTGATTCTACTTATCATGTTGTATGTTGCATCCCTAGGACTTATTTATCTTAAAACTGGGAGTTTGTACTTTTTGACCACCTTCATCTAATTAAAGAAGCCATACTTTGATGAGCATGTATCTTTGTCTGGTGCGTCTTTTCTTTGGCAGCCCATGTGAAAGCATTTCTGCAGGTATTTCATTATTGAAACAATCCAGCCGCTCAATTATGGAGTCGTGTTAGAAGGCTCTCAACTTTCATTCTTGCGGCAATCAGCCCACAGTTTGTAATTTTTTCTAACACTTTGCTTGTGTCTTCTAAAGGGTTTTCTAACTAAAGAGAGCGTTTTCATTTTTCATTATTGCTTTATGTAAATTATTTCTCTGATGCAGTCCCTCTAACGGTGTATTTGCTATTAGATAAGAAACCTCAAAAGTAGCTTCTAAATATTATAAAAATTTAGTAAATTATTTTAAAATCCTTGATGGAGAATCACACAACCATACACTTCAAACAAAACAAGAGGCTTAGTTTTTTATATTCTGGAATTTCGATTTTAAATTGCTTGCTAACCATGATAATTTTGTTCTGTCATCTTCTAATATAGCAAAGGAACGCTATACACTTAGGTCTGTGTTCATTGTTAACAATAATAGGTGTAAAAAGCTATATTTCAAATATACTTTTTGTAAGAACTTTTTAATTTGAGAGAATTTTAGATTTACAGAAGAATTGCTAAGATAGAATGAAGAATTCCCATGTACCCTTCACTGCAACTTCCTTTAATGTGGACGTCTGATATAACCGCAGTAAATCCATCACAACTAAAAAAATAAAGTATTATTAACTATAGACTTTATCTGAATTTCTCCAGCTCTTCCATTATTGCCCTTTTTTTCTGTTCCAGGATACCATGTCACCAAGAGTCAGCAGCCAATGCCACGTAATAGTTTTGTGAAGATTTGTTTAGTTAAAACTAGATGACACTGTTTGGCATTCCAGTTCACCAAGAAGAGCTCACTGCAAGTGTTACAAGATGCTGAAAGCAGGGGTGGCTTTGTCCCTTTCTTTCCTGCTGTGGAATCAGGACTCTGTTTTCCACTGGACCGGAAATAAGGTTGGTCTAGCTTGTCAGCCGAATTAGGGGCCAGCCTTCGTATGTTTATTAAATGTTGGGGAAACTTTACTTCTTCCTTGCCTTTCCTTTTTAAAGACAAAAATTTGTATCTGTAAAAATTCTCAAATTTCCTTTCTATAGCAAATGCCCCTGCTATAAAGAGAGGGCCAGGGTCTTCTGTACCCCCTGGAGCACCCACATCCCATTTTGGGGAACACGGCTCTATATTATATTCATGCTCCTTTGGTGGTCCAGAGAATCAGCCCTAAACTCGTGCTCATATTCACAAGGGCTAAACTGGGAAAACTGGACAATTTCAGTGTCTTGTTCTGACATGTGCCTGAATTATGGTCTATAATAAACAATTATTGAGTAACCTATTAAGGCAATGAGTACACCCAAATAAATTTCTCCAGGAAGCACCTCTTAGACCATCGCTCAACAAATTGTTAAAACTTCTGGTACTTGTGGCAGGGTGGTGTGGGGAAAACCCGGGGGTGGGGGCTGAGGGCCGATAGCCCTGGGGCACCGTGTCAGTCACACCACAAACTTGTGTGACTGGAAATTGAACCCTCGATAGCTATGTCATTCTCTTACTGAAGGAACAGATAATGTCGTGGATACCGTCCTGTGCTGTCTGGTCCCCCTTCAGGAAGGAGCGACTTCTCCCGCAGCTGCTGGGGATGTACTAGAAGGCCCTTACCGTCGACCCCCTTTGGGGATTGCCTCAGCTGAAGAAAACTGCCTCAGCCCAGGCCCACCTCCTCCCAGGACCACCCAGCTTCCAGTGCCCGATCCATGGGGCATGAAGGCCTGGCCCCTCCTCCCATCTTGGAGCAGCTCTGAGGGGCCATCCAGCTTCTGACTCCCCAGGGGTTGGCTTTGCTGGGAATCCATCGCAGACCAACTTCTCCCTCCATCCAATCCTGCTTCCCCCCTCCCCTCCACAGGAGCACCCCCTAACAGATGTTCTGTACACGAGTCTCACCTCAGAGAATCTGCTTCCCAGAAGACCCACCTGCCACATAGGGAAGTCAAACAAGCCAAAACAGTGTGCAAAGGAAAATAAGCACACCTGTGCTTGCGGATGCATCCAGAGATGGTCCTGAGTGTGTGAATGTGTACGTATAAAAAAAAAAATACGTGTTTTGGGACTTCCCTGGTGGCACAGTGGTTAAGACTCCGCACTCCCAATGCAGGAGGCCCAGGTTTGATCCCTGGTCAGGGAACTAGAGCCCACAGGCATGCCGCAACTAAGAGTCCGCGTGCCACAACTAAAGAGCCCACGTGCTGCAACTAAGGAGCCCGCCTGCTGCAACTAAGGAGCCCGCCTGCTGCAACCAAGACCCAGTGCAACCAAATAAATACTTTTAAAAAATGTGTGTATGTATATATGTGTTGGCCATTTTCTTAGAAAAATTGTAGCATCTTATGCTTTTTTATTTATATCATATTTTAAAATCTTAAAATCTATTTTTACATAGTGATACATAAAGTTTTAAAATCACTCGGGCTTCCCTGGCGGCGCAGTGGTTGAGAGTCCGCCTGCCGATGCAGGGGACGCGGGTTCGTGCCCCGGTCCAGGAAGATCGCACATGCCGCGGAGCGGCTGGGCCCGTGAGCCATGGCCGCTGAGCCTGCGCGTCCGGAGCCTGTGCTCCGCAGCGGGAGAGGCCACAACAGTGAGAGGCCTTCGTATCACAAAAGAAAAAAAAAAAATCACTGCCTACTATGCCATTGTACGGACACACCATGTAATAGCCACCATTTGAGTGCCGACTGTTTGCTGGGCACTCTTGCACCCTCTTTGTATTTATTCAACACATATTTATGGAGAGCCTGTTATGTGCCAGACACTGTTCTAGGTGCTATTCTCTCAGGCTTCACTTCAGCCTTAAAAATTAGCTACTGTGATTATCCTGATTTTACAGAGGAGAAAACTGAAGTTTAAGTAACTTGCCCAAGGTCACAGGATTAGTGAATTCATAACCAGGCAGCTGGTCTCCGGTGCTTCAGCTTTTAACCCCCCCACTAGCCCCCTCCCCAAGCCCCCTCCTGATGGGTAGTCAGGCTACATTGCAGCTGGCGGCTGCTATAAGCAATGCTGCAGTGAACATCTTTTCTCATGTGTCTTTGGGTGCCGTTTCCCCACTTGTAAAAAGCACTGAGAAAGGGAAACAGGTGAGCTCATTATCTTACCGGATATCTGTTAGCAGTCCCAGGTCATTTTAAAAGGTGCCTTTCTCCAAAATTAGGGATTTAAGGAATCAAAAAATACTACGTTCCATTCTTAATATGAAAATCTTGGGTTAAGCCTTTGAAATACTTCCATGCTGGCCCTGCGTGTTGGATGCATATTTGCAGATAGGGTAATACCTGGATTACCATCGCCAGCATCCCTGGTGGGAAATGGAATGTTTTTATTAAAATTTCTCTTGTTTGCGTTTCAGGAAAGAAATGAAAGCAGATCCACAAGCCAGGTCTGGTTTTAATCAGAGTCTAATCTTTATGAGACAACACAAGGCTGAGAATTTTTTAATCTGATATTTTGAAAGAAAAATCCGTGTTCCAAAATGATACAAACCAACGAGCCTTAGAAGAACGATGGAGAAAAGAAATCTCTTGCATAAAAGAGAAGCAGGAAATTCCAGAGAAGTTTCACAGTGAGGAGGGGAAAACCCAAGGTCTGTATCGCTATTTATGGTCTTATTTCTTCGTACAGGGTAATAATCTGGTTTTGTTGAACAACCAAAATTCAGTTTAGAGGGAATCACAGCATTCTGTCTCCCTGAAGTGAGAACATAACTGAACATATTACAGACCCACTCTGTGTCCCATGATCCATTGGCCCTTTAGATAAATATTTCGTCCTCTTCAGGGACTCTTCCCATTGTGGTCATAGATCCATCTCATATTAGATGATTTAATACCTTAGTAATTTGGAGCGTCTCTGTAGACATTGCTGAACTTTTTATATTTTCATGTACATTCCACGGATTGGGGGCAAAAGTTCTGATTGGCAGGACTTCAGGGTGAGTTGTTGAAATTTATAATCATTTTCATATAATGCTCGGCTAGAGTGGGGATAGTAAAATCTCAATCTTCCAATAAGCTGCAAAACTATTAATGGATTTCTAGGTCATGTTGTTCAGGGTTAACACTCAGTGGAATATATTTTCCATTAAATATGAAAGTGCTCCAAGTACGTTTTATACCAGGTGTGTTAACTTTACTGTTTCCTGGAGTGTGTATGATTTCAAAATTAATCAAGTCTTCTTTTATGTGCTTTTGCATGAATTCTGGCTTTCTTTTGAACAGTCATAATGACTCAAAGATGGAGACTAAAAATTGGCAAGAAAAAGCCAATAAAAGCATAAAGTCCAGAGTTTCAGAGAAATGAGATTTATCAAATGATATACAGTATAGTTCCCTCGACCAGAGCTTTCAACGTTATATTTATTTGAAAGTGCCTCATTTAGTGTTTATTTTTGCCAGTTTCATAGCAGGAATCAGATCACAAAGATTCAATGAGCAAATCAAACACCATTTTAAAATTCATCCTTGGAGCATAGGCGTGTCTCTTCTCTTATTCCATTGTCTTATCTCTTTCCAAAGCAAGACATTTAAATTTTTATGTGACTAAAATCGTCACACGTCAGGGTACCGTAGGACTTAAAACTCCAAATGTTTTGGCTTACATATTTCAATTTCCTAACTCCACTGCAAAAAGAAAAAGAACACTGGATAAATTAAAATAGCTGATGTCTTCCTATCGTTAGTCTCCATTTATTCCTCTTTGCGTACATTATGCGTGTTTACTCGGATAAATACAATTGCCTTTTCTTCGGTTGCTTAAATCTCTTTGTCTACGAAAAGTAGAAAGAGCTCATCCATTATTTAAGTTACTATTTCTATAACTGAATTAATACATACATCTACCCGAGCAAAGAGGTTCCGCTTGAAGTCCCACTTGATCTCTGTATGGATACGTAATACTGAAAGCACGTTGCCAGAAATACCAGGTTTTAGTGCTATGATGATGGCGTAAATGATACTGTAAGAGGAAGAGACCCTCAAATATTTTCAGCATTTAAAAGGATGTTCTCCTAGTTTAAAAGATGCCTCTCTTACTCTCTTAATTCTCCAGGGCACAGAGCAGGAAGTCAGAGCTGTTACATTCTGCTTTGCTGAGTGTAGGTCAGGCTGATGTATATCGATTGCCCTGGATTTTTCAGTATAAAAACTTGGAGTTTGAGCTTTCCTTCAAGTTATCAGTCCAACCTCGCTATGCCACTGCTTGGGTTCCCCCAACTTCAGTTTCCTGGCTGTGACCCCCAAGATTTACACTGGCCCCAGTGGCTGCCTCTGTGAAGGGAGGACGTGAAGCGGAAGAGAATTTCAGGGCAGCCCCGGACAGGGAGTCAGGGGAAAAACGTGAAGTTTGCGGGAAAGTAGGGTCAGGCCCTTGCCCCACAGGCCTCCACAGCTGAACCTGCGTTCGTGTATTTGTTTCATAGATGAATTGACATACTTTAAGAGATGTATTCTCTTCTGAAATATTGCCTTGTACATTGCAGCTCATGGAAGATGGCCCTCTGTAATGGTAAAGTGAAAGTACACACACACCTGAGCTGTTGGCAACGTGTATTTTTAAAACAAATACATGGGGCTTCCCTGGTGACGCAGTGGTTGCGAGTCCGCCTGCCGATGCAGGGGACGCGGGTTCGTGCCCCGGTCCGGGAGGATCCCACATGCCGCGGGGCGGCTGGGCCCGTGAGCCATGGCCGCTGAGCCTGCGCGTCCGGAGCCTGTGCTCCGCAACGGGAGAGGCCACAACAGTGAGAGGCCCACGTACCACCAAAAAACACACACACACACACACAAATACATGGTAGGGGGGATGTGGGAAAGAAACAGAGAACAAAAGAACTGATCGGTAACAGGTGTCCTGCTTAGAGAGGTTCATTTAAGGAATTGGCCCATGTGATTGTGGAGATGGGCAAGTACAGCATTTACAGGGCAGCAGCGGGTAGGTTAGGCTGGGGCTCAGGCAAGAGCTAAGTTGCGATCTTGAGTCCAGAAGCCACAGCGCAGGCTGGCAGGACTTGTGTGTGGAGTCTTGAGGCAAATTCCTTCTTCTCCCAGAACCCTCAGTGTCTGCTTCAACTGATCGGATGAGGCTCACCCACATTACCAAGGGTAATCTCCCTCCAAAGTCAGCCGCTCGTAAGTGATCATATTGACAAAGTATCTTCACAGCAACATCTAGACTAATGTTTGACCAAACAACTGAGCCCCATAGCCAGGCTGACACATAAAATTAACCCTCGCAGTATTTCCCCCAATTATAAAGGAGGAGACTGGGGCTTGAAGAAGGTAAGAACTCGCTCGAGGTCAGACCACGAGAGTGAAGTAATACTGTGCAACCTCAACGCTTATGCTCTTAATCACTAACCCTGGCTGCCTGCTTAGATTACTTGCTAAATTAGGGAAGACGCTCTAAAAGAGAGGCACTTGAACCTGGTAGGTTTTGATTTAAGGCAAGGGTTTGAAACACAGGGCAGACAAGATAGGATAACAAGGACCAGATTTACCCTCTTGCCTGAAATGACTGGAAACAGAGATAACGTATATGAAACAAGAGTCTGAAAGACCCTGGATATCGGGTAGTAAAGGATAGCGATCCTTGAGAGACGAGAAGCAAACCGGGATTGGGGTGGGGGGCATCCAGTTGCCCCAGCCCTAAAGGAGGGTTTCCAAGCAGTGGGGCAGAGGAGGGCACCCAGGCAGGTCCCTGTGATCTCCCTAAGTTGAGGAGACAGCTGAGAGTCTGGGGAGGCCAAGGTGGCTAGAGTTAGTGGGAGAAGAGGGAGCCATGTGGAGAAAGCCTCCAGAAATGTCCAGAGTGTCTCCCCTGAGGCTTCAGCTGACAACCTATCAGCAAGCGTGTGTGAGGAAACCCTCGAGGCTGGGGAAAGAGCCACCCAAGAGATAAAAGTAAGTACTCTCCGGAGATAACACAAGGCCAGAGCAAAAGAGGCCTAATTCATGGAGATCCAAGTGTTTGCCTTGGTGGCGAGGCAAAATTAGACCTGGACCACATTCTCTGTGGTTCTGCCCAACAAACCTTCAAAGCAAACTTGAAAGGATTGAACCATTTCCAAGTAATTTAACTGTGCTCCGGAGTTCAGAGTTCAAGAATAGTTCAAGCAATACAAAAACAGGTAGTACCCAGCAAGGTAAAATTCACAGTGTCTGGCATCCAATCTAGATTACTAGGCATGTAGAGCAACAGAAAATTTTGACCCATAATCAGAGGAAGAAATAAGCTCATGGAAACTGATACACAGATGCCATAGGTGATGGAATTAGTGGGCAAAGATATTTAATAGTTATTATATCTGTATTCAGTGTGTTCAAGAAATTGGAGGAAAGATCATGCATGATTAGCAGAGACATGGACAATATAAGATACAAACTGAAATTCTATGAAAACTACAACATCTGAGACTAGAAACACACTGGATGTAGACATGGCAGAGAAAAAGATTAGTGAATTTGAAGACTTAGCAATAGAAAGTAAATACAGTGAAACATGGAGAGAAAGACTGGAAACAATAAACTATCTGTGCACTCTGGGACAGCTTCAAGTGGTCTGATATATGTGTGCTTGGAGGTCCTAGTCTCGGCAAACTAGGCATTGAAGGGAATTCTACTTGATAAATGTTATCAAACTAAAATGTATAGCTAGCCTCCTATGTATGGTGAAGGACCGAACACCTTCCCCTGAAGATTAGAGACAAGACAAGGATGTTCACTCACCACCTGTATTCAGTATCGTACTGGAGGTTCTAACCAGATCCATCGATAAGGCAAGAAAAAGAAAGAAAAGCCATCTTAATTGGAAAAGAAGTAAAACCTTTTTTATGCGTTGATGACATTATCATCTATATAGAAAATCTTATAGAATCTGCAAAAAAAAAAGGCCAAAAGAACCAATAAGTGGCTTTAGGAAGGTTGCAGGATGTAAAATCAATATACAAAGATCTGTTATTTCCAAATACTACTAATGAACAGTTCGCTATTGACATTTTTTTAAATTCCATTTACAATAGCATTAAAAAGTGTTATATTCCTAGGGATAAATCTGGTAAAACATGATTAAGGTCTGCACATTTAAAACCATAAAACATTGCTGAGAGAAATGAAAGGCCTAAATAAATGGAGTGATTTACAAGTTCCATGGGTCAGATAACTCAATATACCGAATATGTCAAATTTCCCCAAAATTCATCTGTAGAGAAAAAAGCATTCCCAATGAGAATCCTTTTTGTATAAACTGACAAGCTGATTCTGAAATTCATTTGGAAATATAAAGAACCTAGGGAAATCAAAACAACTTTGAAAAATAGGAAAGTTTTCATACTACGTTACTTTGATATTTATTATAAAACTACAGTAATTAAGATACTGTGGTATTGGCATCAAGATAGATAAATAGATCAATGGAACAGAATAGAGTAATTAAAATAGTATGATATTGGTGTCAAGACAGACAATAAGGTCAATAGAAAAAAATGGAGAGTCCAGAAATAGACTCACATCGATAAGGTCAATTTTTTTTTTTTTTTTTTTTTTTTTTTACCTAATCCTTGGGTTTAAAGTTCAGGGCTGCAGGTAAGGGGCAGAGTGGCAAGGCTGGTACAAATGGTAACAGTGGCAAGGAACCCAGCTGGCATTGGCAGGAGCCTGTGCCAGGGTGTTGCAATGCCTATGTCTTGCTATCCTGGCTCTCTCTTTCTGGTTTTCTTTCTTTTGGTAGGTGTCCTGTGGGATACACCGGAGACAGGTGTCAGCAGTTCTCAAAGGTCAACTTCTCTCGTATGTCTCTTTACACAGGTGTAAAGATAATTCAGAAGAAAATACAAAGTTTTCAACTAACGCAGATGAAACAGTTGGATATTCTTATGCAAAAAATAATTCCAGTCCAATCCTGGCACTTATACGAAAAGTAAGTCAAAATAGATTGGAGATCTACCTGTAAAAACTAAAATTACAAAATTTCTAGAAGAAAACATAGGAGAAAATCTTTGTGGCCTCAGGTTAGGCAAAGATTTCTTTTACATTCAACGGCAAAAGAATAATACACACACATACAAAATTGATATATTGGACTGCCTCAAAATTAAGAAATGTTGTTCAAAGGGCACTGTTAAAAAGTGAAAAGAGAAGCCAGAGAGTAGAAGAAAATGCTTATAAATCACATATCTGATAAAGAACTGGTATCCACAATATATTAATAACTCCCAAAACTCAGCAATAAGAAAACAAACAACTGTATTTTTTAAATGAGCCAAAGATTGGAACACACAATTCATCAGAGAAGATATACAGACAGCAAATAAACACATGAAGAGATACTCAACATCATTATGCACTATGGAAATGTACATTAAAACCATAGTGAGATACTGTTGTGTGCCTATTTGTACGTCTATAGTTAAAAAGACTGACCCTGTGAATTGCTGGTTAGGATGCGAACGAACTAGACCTCTGACACACAATGTAAAATGGCACAAGTACCTGGAAAACAGTTTGACACTTTCTTAAATAGTTATAAACACACACTTTCCATAAGATCCAGGCTTTCTCCTTCTGGATATTTATCCAGGCGAGATAAATGCCTATGTCCATACGAAGACGTGTATACAAATATTTATAGCAGACTTGTTTGTAATAGCCTTAAGTAATGAATTAACTAATGAATTAAAAGGAAACCAAGCACAATCCAAATGGTTATATCATCAGGTGAATGGATAAACAAATTGTGGCACATCCACACAATGGAATAGTACTTAGCAATGAAAAAGGAACGAACTGTTGACACATGGAAGGACGTGGATAAAGCTCAAAATAATCATGCTGGCGAGGAAGCCAAAGAAAAATCAGCACAGACTGTATGATTCCATTCATACCATAAACTGACCTCTGGGGACAGAAGGCAGGTGCGTGGTTCCCTGGATTGGGAGCAGGGGGTGGGAGAGTGATCGCAAAGGGTCAGGTGGAAAGTTTGGGAGGCTGGGCATGTTGGTCACTTTGTGGGGCGGTTTCGTGGATGTACACGTATGTCGGCATTTCAAATTGCACACTTTTTTTTTAAAGAATTATTTATTTATTATTTATTTATGGCCGCATTGGGTCTTCATGGCTGCGTTGGGTCTTCGTTGCTGCGAGCGGGCTTTCCCTAGTTGCGGCGAGCGGGGGACTACTCTTCGTTGCGGTGCGCGGGCTTCTCATTGCGGTGGCTTCCCTTGTTGTGGAGCCGGGCTCTAGGCGCGCGGGCTCAGTAGTCGTGGCTCACAGGCTCTAGATCGCAGGCTCAGTAGCTGTGGCTGGCGGCTCTAGAGCGCAGGCTCAGTAGATGTGGCGCACGGACTTAAGTTGCTCCGCGGCATGTGGGATCTTCCCGGACCAGGGATCAAACCCGTGTCCCCTGCATTGGCAGGCGGATTCTTATCCAATGCGCCACCAGGGAAGTCCCCAAATTGTACACTTTTAAAACACACCGTGTACCGTTTGTTCATTATACGTGAAGCAACGTGGTGTTGGCCCTGCGACTGGAAGAGGCGAGACTGAGGCAGGAAGACCACTCAGGAAGATGCTGAGAAATCCAAATCGTCCTTACACCCAGAACCCGCCTTACAGCAACCAGTTTTACATAAATAACTCTAATATAAGCATAAGAATCCTGGTCTGTTAGGGGTGAATTCATTTGTAGGAAAATAGGAGCTAGTAATGAGTAAGCAAAGCCTAAGCGGGTACATTTGGGGCTTTGGTGCTCCTTACAAAAGGACCCCTGGTTCCTGCTGCCCTGTCACCCGTCACCTGGGTGCCTTTGTGCAGTGCACAGGCCACACAGCCACCCACGGCAGCCCTGATCCTATAGACCACGTGGTGTGATAGAAACAGCACTGACCACCAAATCTTGGCTCTGCCATTAACCATATGGCCTTTGGTGAATCACCTAAAAGTCCTCATACCTTAGCTTCTTCATCTTGGATTCTGGCCCTGTGGGGCTTGGTTGAGATAAGGACTATGGTTAGGCTTTAAAAACAGGCATGGGCCCATCAACCTGTTCTGACCAGAGGTGAGGGGAGAAAGGCTGGTCTGGAGTTCATCCAGAGAACATCGCCGGGCTCTTTATTAATCTTTATTAAGATGCGCATTAAGCTACTAAACAGGGCTGTCTTGGATCAAACTGTGAGAGACGTGTTCCCACTTCTGTCCCCACTGCTACCTTCTGGGGCCTTTTGTGATGTACAAGCATCACACCCAGTTCCCCGTGTCACCCCCTCAGCGGCCCAGGGCCCACTGGGAATTCCCTCCCAGAGAGGTTTGCTGCCCTGAATTCCCGAGTCAATCCATTCCTTGCTTCCATCTTCCCATCCTTTCGGTGTGTAGATCACAGCTGGGAGGAATGAATATTACTAAATGGAGTCACGCTCAGGTTGGTATATACGACTAGGGCTATAGCTCTCTTAACCTTAACCTTTCAAGAGACACTTATTTTAAACGAGATGCTCATTTACTCCAAAGAATGACTGTCTAATGGTGGAATTTGATATCAAGTAGCTAGCTCTTTGGGCATGGGATGGAAGGGGTGTCTCTCGAAACAAATCTCCACATTTAGTGCCGCCAAATCTCCAAAACAATCTCCAAAATGTTAAGCCATTTACGCTGACTTTTCAACAAGATAAGTTTCTTTCTGTATAATCATGTTTATATCTATTTCTATATATCTGCTACAAACTCTGCACAGGAAATAATGGAATCAAATATGGATTTTTTTTAATGTAAGAAACTGATACACTGATTGAAGGCTGCTGTCACAGTGTTTCAGATGCTGCTTGTGGCTGAAGTTCAAGTTGGTATGTTCCAGTCATTTAGCTCGATACACTTGTCAGTGATCTAGAGGATGAAGTGAATGGCAGTGTGAAAGAATTTGCTGATACAAAAGTGTTTAGGTTGGTAAGAGCTAGGAGGGTTGTGAGGATCTTAAGATGGCTCTAATAAACTGGATGACGGAACAAACATGAAGACTGATAACGTTTTACAGAGAAGGCCCAAAGGCAATAGATACTGAATGAAATCATTTCAGCTCTACATAATTTAAGCAGTACACACCGATGGACTTAGAATTTATGTTAGTTTCAAAAGGAAAAGACTTGCTGTAGGAATCAAATTAATAAAAACATTTCAGGAAAGCCATCTAATCTGCAGTGCTCCTGAAAAAAAGGCCAGAAGAGTCTAGGTATGTACTCAGAAAATGCAGGGAAAGATACAGGGAAACATGAGGTGGTTGGGACTGGGTGCCGACCTAACAAGCTCCCTTCTGCCGACTTGGTCCTGATGTGTTCCTCCTGTTACCCTCAGCCCCAGAAAATGAATCAGGACCTGTCTAAACCAATAGTCCCCAAAGTATGATCCCCAGACTGGCAGCAGTGGGATGACCTGGCAACTTATTAGAAATGCAAATTTATTAGGCCCCATCCCCAATATACTAAATCAGAAATTTTGGTGGAGGAACACAGCAATCTGCATTTTAGTAAGCCCCCCAGAAGATTCTGATTCATGCTGAAGTTTGAGAACCACTGGTCTAAACCAGTTGTGATAAAATCCCATTCCCCTTTTTTGCCAATGAGTACATTAAGGATAAGAATGAACTCCCTTCGGGTCATTGAGATACAAGTGAAAGTCTGCTGGAGGAGTTTAAGAAAGGTATTTCTCTCGGATGAAGAGAGTAAAGACATTGCAGCCTTTGGCCTTAGTTCTGTGAAGATGTGATGTCTGGAGCTTCAGCATCCATCTTGTGGCTACGAGGAGGCATGGCTGAGGACCACAGAGCAAAAAGATCATGTTTTTGTGCCACTGAATTAGCCAACCTTCCCATGACTCGACATCCAGGATGTCTGGCTATGTGAGAAAATAAACCTCACTTTTGGTCAGATACGCTATTCCCTGCATCGGAAAGCATCCCCCCAAAAGCACATGCCTTTCTTCTCCACTGTGGTACAGAGGAAGCAAACCTGAAGAGGTAAATGTTCAGAAATAGTGAAAAAAAAAAACAACAACAACCCAGATCTCAGCCCTCTCACCTGAACACGAGAGAGCTACATTCCCTAACCTTAAAGCAAGTATATTTTTGAGCCTCTCTGCTCTTATACACTGTATTAATATAACAAAGATTTACTTTTCTCATAGTTATCTGTAAAGCATCTTTACTAACAGAGCTATGTGCAAACATAAAAAAATCCCTCCTGGGGTCAGCATACCATCCATCCAGTTCAGGGCTGGGTGACTGAAAGATACACTGGGAGGAAAGTTGGAAGGTGTGATCGTTCTTGATCGCAACCTTGGAAAGTTAAAGTTGCACACAGTGCACTTTCATTTCCCCCACATCCCGTTATGAATGACCATTTATGAATCTGCTCAGCTCTCCACATTCTTAGTCCTACTAGGAATGAAGAGGTCACACAGTGGACGCACACCTCAACCCAAGGACCGCTTTCATGGGAAATAAAATGCCAAGACAGATGTATGGGTGGAAACCTCCACTTAGAGGAGGCAGAAGGTATCTCCTGCTGACTGTGTCTTCACACCTCGGCAACACACCTGTGAGCAAAGTCACAAGGAAGAGTGCAGAGTGCGAGACTCAGCCCGATGAGTGCATCCTTTTCTGTGCCATCCAGCTTAACCTCTGACACACTCTTAACAGTGAAGCCCCTCAAATGACTAACTGCAAACACAGGTGGGATTGTCATCATGTCCTATAGGTCAGGAAGATTGGGCTTTACAGGACTGACAGCAGGAATTGTTCCAAAATCAACTGTCCTCCTCGGAGAATTCCCCGTCAGCTGTCAAAGAAGGCTGGCTCCGTTGAATTCAGCCCTTGAAGAGTGCAAAGGGGAGAGAAGAGCTCTCAGAGACGAAAAGCAGACCTCGCAGGATTTTACGGCTTAAGACCAATACCTTCCCCTGCCCTCGGAGCCATTAGGGAAGCCAGCAGCATCTGGGGCCCAGATGTTCTGAGCAGATCTCCCTCTGGGCAGAGGCTGGCCTAGTCTTCCCTGGAGCTCAGAGCAGGTCACGAGAGAAAGGAGTCTTGCCCCGGCCAGGGAAGTGGAAGTGCAGCTCCTGGCCACAGCCTTTTATCTAGGCTGGAGCCTTGAGTTCAAGGTTTCTCCCATTTCCTACCCTTGGAAGGCAAGGCAATTCCTGTTGCCTGGTGGAGTGAGGATAAAATGGGACAGGGGATGGGAAGAGCACTGATTGTGTGGCTTATAAAATCCCTGTGGCAGAAAACACTGTTGTGAACTCACCCAAAGCTATTTCTCAGACTCCTTGGTAGCCAGGTGGGGTCATGTGACCGAGCCTTGGCCAATGGGATGTAGGTGGAAGTGAGTGACGTGCATCACTTCTGTGCCTGGCCCAGAAAGCACACCTGGGCCATCTCGCAATCCCACTCCCCAGGCTTCTGGTCACATGCATAGGATCCGCAGACAAACCCCCAGCTGACGGGGATGGGGGCCCACCCGATGGAAGGAGCTCAGATCCCTCATCAGCCTCACAGAAGGCCACCTGCCTAGTGGTCTCGGATTGTGCTGGAATGCAGACTAGAGCTCTGACTGTGCCAAACCGTCTCAGAGCTTGTCGTCCCATCAAGCACTGTTTACCCTACTTAACACAGGCTCGGAATGTGTCCCAGAGAAAGCAACTGAGAGGGTGACCGGAACCTGGGGCAGGGGTGGGGAGCCAGGGGTAGCAAATACGTTTAGAGAGGTGGCTCACAATGTCCAGGTGGCATGTGGTCTGCCGCTCACTTAACGACCCTCCCTTATCAATGCTTTTATGCTCTGGATGAACCTCTGTGAGGCTGCCCGGGTGCCCCTCACCTCTGGCTGGCTGTCAGGATCTATACAGACAGCCAAGGAGGCATATTAAACAGACCTCAGGGAGTTCAGGATCTGAAAGAAATTAGCCCAGGCAAATCACCACCGAGTACATTTTTCTTTTTTAGAAGACAACATTGGCAAACACAAGCCACACCATCTCTTGAAACCTGTGTGTTCACTGCCCTTGAATGCATCCATGGTGGATGGTTGACAAGTGTAGGGACGGCTGGTGAATGTACAGCAGGTTAATATCAATTTTCATTGGCTTGGTAATTAACCTGTGAGATTTTTTTCTATATGAGCTCTACAGTGTTCTTATTCCAGAGATGGCAATCATTTTAGATAAATTTTATTTTATTATTATTATTTTTTGCGGTGTGTGGGCCTCTCACTGCCGTGACCTCTCCCGCTGTGGAGCATAGGCTCTGGACACGCAGGCTCAGCGGCCATGGCTCACGGGCCCAGCCGCTCCGCGGCATGTGGGATCCTCCTGGACCGGGGCACGAACCCGCGTCCCCTGCATCGGCAGGCGGACTCTCAACCACTGCGCCACCAGAGAAGCCCTAGATAAATATTTTCATGCAAAAGATTCTGCCAGATAATTTTTATGCATGAATAACCTGATCTGAACAAATTCATTTCTGATGCTCAGATACTACCTCACTTATTTTGGTATTTTTATTGTGGCAAAATATACATAGCATAAATGTACCATTTTACCAATTCTTAAGTGTACAATTCAGTGGCATTCATTACATTCACAGTGTTGTACAGCCGTTATCACTGTATATTTCTCAAACTTTCTTATCATCCCAAATAGAACCTCTCAAAACAACTAAGTAATAATTTCCCCTTCCCCACTTTCTCCAGCCCCTAGTGAACTCTGATCTATTTTCTGTCTCTAAGAATTTTCCTGTTCTAGATATTTCATGTAAGTGGAATCAAAAATATGTGTCCTCTTGTGTCTTACGTTACTTACCATAATATTTTCAAGGTCTGTCCATGTTGTATCATACATCAGAACATCATTCCTTTTTACAGCTGCATAATTTTCCATCGTATACATACACTTTGCTTATCCATTCATTTGTTGATGGACATTGGGTTGCTTCCACCTTTTGGCTGTTGTGAGTAATGCTGCTATGAAGATGGGTGTGTAAGTATCTTTTCCAGTTCCTACTTTCAATTCTTTTGGGTATATACCTAGGAGCAGAATTGCCGGGTCATACAGTAATTCTACACTTAGCTTTTTGAGGAACTACCAAACTGTTTTCCATAGCAAAGCTGCAAGATTTAAAAAACCCAGATTAAAGAAAAAATGTAGAAGAAGGCTCTTGTTATGCCATGGGGATGCCTGCGTGATGAGTGCCAGCTGCGTCTGGAACCCTCATTAGCACAGAGCACAGTACCTCTTGGGCCAGCTCCCTCTAGGCAATCGCATTAAAGGCTTCACACCTGAGTGACTCCTCTATACGGAGGTAAATTGCCGAGCAGCTGATAAAGCTAAGCTTCGGAGCCCCTCACTTGCCCTGACTCCTTCCAAAGCCCTGGGAAGGGCCCTTACCATATGGTAATTTGTTTTTGTTTTTGTTTTTTTTAATTTGCAAAAGTAAGAGATTTGAAGCAAAATCCGTTAAGACCACTGTCTCTTTTCACTCTAACTCCCCCTTGAATTGGGTGGTGTTGGGATGCCCGTGGGCATCTGGGAGAATGTTGATTTATTCTGGAAGCCACTGGAAGAAAAGACTCCCAGTTTTTGAGTCAAGTAAGTCTCCAAATAGCTATTGAATGACACTGCAGGGAGCTGGGTTAAGAGCTTAAGATGGTTGAGACCTGGCTCCTGCACTCCGGGAGCTTCCAGACTCAACCGGGATGGGAAACACACATTAACACTTACAATAAAAGTCAGAACTTGCAAAATGCCATAACAGTGTGTGATGGGTCCAAAGCAGGGAGAGATGGCATTGAAAGTGTCTGTGACTGGGTCCACTTGGGATGGACCTGGAGGGTACATTTCCCCCAGCAGAGAGTGGACTAGTGGAAATCAAGGCCCTAAAGGCAGGAGTGCCCAGGCTCTAAAGACATGAAACTGCAAAAGGAAATTTGGGACCACGTTTTAGAGCAGGGGTCAGCCGATGTTCTCCGTGAAGGGATAAATCGTATTTTAGGCGTTTCAAGCCACGTGCTCTCCGTCACAACGACTCAGCTCTGCCGTCAGAGCATGGACGCAGCTGTAAACAATATGTAAATGAGGGGTGTGGCTGCGTGCCAATAAAATTTTATTTACGCAAACAGGCAGCAGGGCCAGGGCACCCAGCTAAGGAAACTGCAGGCCGTGAGAAGCCACTGGAAGCCTGTGAGCAGGAGAATGACACTGAAACACGACCAGAGGTGTGTATTTGTTTGGTTTTTTGTTTGTTTGTTTTTTTGCGGTACGCGGGCCTCTCACCGCTGCGGCCTCTCCCGCCGCGGCGCGCAGGCTCCAGAGGCGCAGGCTCAGCGGCCATGGCTCACGGGCCCAGCCGCTCCGCGGCATGTGGGATCTTCCCGGACCGGGGCACGAACCCGTGTGCCCTGCATCGGCAGGCGGACTCTCAACCACTGCGCCACCAGGGAAACCCCAGAGGTGTGTATTTGGAAAAGAAATTTGGTTATAGGGCAATCCTTGAATTGGAGGATGTGGAATTGAGTGTGGAGACAGTTGCTGAGAGGCTTTTAGAGTGTCTGGGGTTAGAGGCTGGCATTGGGGCGTTGAAAACAGGAACTAGAAGTCCAGTTTGGTAGGGCAAGGGATCTTATTGGGCGTAGAGAGAAATGGAGAGACACCTGTTTTAAAAACGGGGCCTGGGGGACCGGGATTTAGGGAGTCTGCAGGGAAAGCTTGTGAGCGATGAGGCGCTTTGGGGTTGGATAGGCCCCTGGATGGTCTCTGCGCTCTGGGTAGAGTCGTTGGGCAGCTGGCGCCAGGTGACTGAGACCCCTTCCTGCCGCCCAAGGCCACGTGGGGCACGGCTGCCACGGGCCCCTGTGTCACCCCCAAGGCTCCGAGCAGACAGCGCCTGGCACTCCGTGAGTCTGGCCAAGCCTGGGCTCCGGGTGAGCCACGCCCTGTATCCCTGGGCCACTAGACACCTCTGAGGACAGCCAAGGCAGGGCCATTGCCGCCCCGCCAGAGGCGGGCGGAGGCCGTGCCGAGCGACCGTGGCTGCTGGGTGGGAGGGCCCGGCTGCTTTCTCATCACACGGTGCTCCAGACAAGACAAGGCTGTGTCTCTTGGAAAGCATGTATGCGGGGTCGGGGTGAGTCCAGAGGAGGTCAGGCCTCGTGGAAATCACAGCAGCCAGTGAGGTTACAGAATTCCTTAGCATCCCGGGGACTCTGTGTGCGACCCAGTGGCCCGTCAGGCACACATATTCTGGAGACTCGAACGCATTTAAAGGGAGCAGGGGATTCTGAAAGAAAATGTGCCGTTTCACCGCGAAAATCTTGTCATTTCTCCCAGGAACGTAATATAATACCCTCCTGGAGAAATCGTGTGAAGGTTGGGTTTTTGCCTGGGTCCCATAGCAAGCCCTCTCCCCACTGCTCTGCGTAGTGAGACAATTCAGTGGAAAAGGAGCCACCTCAGAATTTGCCACATCTATGTTTGACAAGGGGGCAGTTTACTCCCTCGTTGCGTGCTTTCTTGCTGAGATGCGAGCGTGAGGTTGGCAGATACTGAAAATGCTATTTTGATACTTTGCGCACTTTCTTGGGAATTTATTTTAGAAGCAGAGTAATAAGAGAAATCTTACGATGCTACCGCTTGTGGTTATTTATTTCCGAGGCAATCAATGAGGAAGTGTTAGGAAATATATTCAGAGGGATTTCAAATCTGATTCCAGTCAAGTGTGTAATCTTTCCATTTTCTTTCCATATGTTATACGATTTCTTAAAAAGATGAAATGCTAAAGAACTAAAAGGCACTCCGGAACTCAGACCCTAACTATGAATATAAGATTGTACATTTTTTCAAGGAATGAAATGGCTTTAATTATGCTGAAACACATGTTGATAGTGAAACCAAATACCGTGCGTTGTGTTCATAGGCACAATATTTTATGTTATTTTAAAAATTTATTTTATTGAAGTCTAGTTGGTTTACAATGTTGTGTTCATTTCTGCTGTACGGCAAAGTGATTCTATACATACACTCTTTTTCATCCTCTTTTCCACGATGGTTTATCACAGGATATTGAATATAGTTCCCTGTGCACTGCCGTAGGACCTTGTTGTCTATCCATCCTGTATATACTAGTTTGCATCTGCTAATCCCCAAACTCCCACTCCATCCCTCCACCACCCCCCTCCCCTTTGGCAACCACCAGTCTGTTCTCTATGTCTGTGAGTCTGTTTCTGTTTTGTAGATAAGTTCATTTGTGTCATATTTTAGATTCCACATATAAATGACATCATATGGTATTTCTCTTTCTCCTTCTGACTTACTTCACTTAGCATGATCATCTCTAGGTCCATCCGTGTCCCTGCAAATGGCATTATTTCGTTCTTTTTTTATGACTGAGTCGTATACCGTTGTACATATGGACCACATCTTCTTTATCTGTTCATCTGTCGATGGACATTTAGGTTGCTTCTGTGTAAATAAACTGCAAATAGAATATTATAAGTAGGCTACTGTAAATAGAACAGGCACAATACTGTAAAATACAACTGGTGATTCCAGGCCTTTGGGCAACTCTTGCAGTTTTTTCAAGGTGAAGAGTCAGCCAGCTGGGATCCAGTCTCTTCAACTTGGTCCCAGGTGGTCTAGACCAAGTACATCCCCAGTCTTTTGAACAGTTGAGTTTCCGTTGTACTTACACACCATGGGCTCTGCCTGTACTTGTTGGCAAAAGGGTTAAGAAGTGATTATGAGCAAAGGTTACGTGTGGGTCCTTTATGTTTCCTTCCCACCAGGGCCATCAAGGAGGAGAACAGACGAGTAGAGGAGCTTGCCTCGCTAAGTCAGGGAAGGGAAGAGGGGGGGAGTGAGCTTGGTCTTCTTTCAGCCCTCTTTCTGTTAAGATCCTCTTCCTGGACCGGGTTAAAGGTTATTTCGGCCTTTTGGAGGACCTGATGGAAAGGGCCAGGTGGTTGGAGATTGGATCTAGTGCAGGTGCTGCTTTAATATTAGTTCTCCCAATTTGGAGACCCATGGGCCTGTGGATACCTGCCCTTGAAGGCACGTCAGGAGCAAAGGTTTGGAAACCCATGGCTGCGTCCCTGTGTCTATAACCAGGTGAATGGGAGCTGGATCTCACGATCGAGTCAGCTCCTCCCGGCTCTGCTGGGGGCAGGGTGGTCAGCAAAGTTCAGGGTGAACCGGACACAAAGGCAGCTTTGTTTGCTGTT